AAGGCTTTACGACATTCTCCATTCGATCTAGCGTAAATCATCCCCACGATAGTTAGTACGACCGGGTTATTGAGCTTTCTTATCCTCAGTAGAGATGGTATATTCAATGGTATACTATTGATGTTTAGACCTGCATTTCTTGTGAAAGTCTGAGTTATTCAGGTTTAGTGACCCAAGGAGAAGCTTGGCTGATGAGCCTGACATGTCTGTTGAACGAGTAGTAATATTTAATCAGAAAGTTTACTCAGCTGACAAACTAAATCGTATTCTTTTGGACGAAGGCTCAACACTATCTTCTTGTTTAAACGTTTCAATGAAGCATAAGTAATTTTTTACTTACCTTTTTACTACCACTCTTTACATTCATCGTATTGCTTAATCTATGAATTTCTACAGCCTATCTCATCTTGAGTTTCTTAGAAGACACCATAAGAACTCGGGTATTAAGATCCATTCCAGAGACCTTGTATATAAGGCAAGGCTCAATATGGATAGGTCTGACGAATTTTGCAAAGATAAGATAAGTAATTTATCCAGTACGGAGCCGGAGGAGTGTGGGAAACTTCAAGTTTGCATTAAAAAATGAAGTTATGTCAGGTTTTGCGTACAGACGTTAACATATATACACACACAGACACACTAAAGAATATGTTAATTAGCCAAACCTTTATATATCCATCTATATCTTAAATTTTCCACCCCATGAGTACATATATCATATGGAAAAAAGCTAGTTATTCGTCTTGACTTAGTGTTAACTTGAGACTCTTGCAAGAATGAGTCCCAGCTCTGACGATGTTCTTCACAAAACGAAAGGAAGCTTAGCCCGTCTTTGCCTGCACGGCTCGTTAACTGCATCAACCTGGACCTCGTACTAATCTCAAATGGCTGCAATACAACGCGTATCAGCCAAAGTCGTCTGGTGAAATTGATAAAAAATTCTCTTCATCGTCTACTTCCATAAGAAATGAAAGTTTTCACATTAATCTTATCTCAGGATATTCTGTGACACTCGCATTCTCTTTTTACATACAATGATATACTTGTTGGGTCTTTAATTTTGTATTTTCCTCAGATCCACGAGTCTTAGGTCAATCTATTTGCAGCCCGATTTGTATTGTGTCTCCTGCAATTCATGACCCTTTGATCTGACAGTATCTGCAAACTTTTTTGCGTTCCTCCAGTCTTTGACGAATGGGATGGTCCTTCCTTCCTAAATAAAATGGGCCACAAAAAAACATTATTTTGCAGCAGCTTGATTTGTATAAAGGGTCATATTTTCCTGCATATGTGAGCAAAACCGGTTTGATTCTCCCACTTTCTTGAAATTCCGTACTTCTTTCTAGAGTATGGCCTAGAAGGCAGAGTCAAAATATGAGGAAAAGTCACCATTCTCACTTAAATATATTAATATTATATTGGTATTATAGTTAATTAAACCTAATGAGAACACATTATATTTTACTAAATTTCTGAGCCTATCGAAATTATTCCAGTGGCACTCTTAACAGCCGTACATTTGGCATGGTAACCAGATTGCTTCCTTATCCATAATGCCCATATTCTTTCTACATTAATTTATAACGTTGGTCTATAAAGCGAATGCTCAAGCAAATTGACCCAAGATAGATATCCCTTTTTCTCTTATTTTCAACTCCCTTACTTCCATGTCCCTTTCTGACAAATATCTGTTCATGCCCTCCCCCCGAAACAGAGCCTCTTCGTGATGACCATAGCAACCTCGGGGGCGCTTACTTACCGTAGAACTGCGACTGCCGAGATATATGTTTATCCTATATGGACAGTATGGTTAGGCTGGACAATGGCCAGTTGCGTAGCGCTTTTGGTTCCTGGCATAGCCGCTTACAGAATTTTCAACACGGAAGGAGCTTTTTTTGAGGTAAAAGTTAAAGAAGACAATTGCATCAGAGCCATCGCTATGAGGTACAGTCTGATAGAGGCGCTATTCGAGAAAACTGAGTCGAGCATTTATGCTAATCGCGCTAGCGAAAGATTCTGAGCCCTCCTGACAACGCATTCGGGGTGGTAGGGATTCGAAGTTGTGTTGCATTCCAAGAATTAATTTGAGAATATTTCTTCGACATCTCCTTCAAATAGAAATATGCCTGGCATATCTTGAATTGAGCCTTAGAGATGCATCTTCTCTTGATCTGCTGCCCACACCATTTAGAGACCATGCAACTCTTTCGTCTTCACAGAAGGTCAACACATGCCGAACTGGGGTCTCCGTTTGACAATATTTGATGACGGTTGCTTCGCCAGGCACAGACCAGGCTTTGCTTAGAGATAATGCTGAGGCTTTTCATTAAGCTTGCTCTTGTAGTAATTGCTTCTATAAAAGCCAAACCTACCAGGAAGACTTGAATACCACCTTAAAATTCCCAAGTCCGTATTCGGATTCTCTCGAATGCAGTCATCTTTACATCATACGTGAATGTGTGGGGCCTCTACAATATAAACAATTTGGAATAAGTGCAAATAATCAATTGGTTTTCATTGGTTAATCCTTTTTATAGACGAGATTATACCTCAAATAATAAAAGAAAATTTACATTTGATCTACGCTATCAAGATTCAGTTAGCCATAAGCTTGTACTAAAATCGTAACAATCAGATTTTACGTCAATTCTCGACTCGTATTATAACTTTAATGCATTCTGAAATCACGCCATCTCGACATAAATATCTTCGAAATCTTTATAGCTTGGCTTCAAATCCTACCGACAGCCAAATTAGATCCGGAAACCTACGAGAAAACACCTGATTTGACCTCAATTCATGGTGGTGCAACATTTAATTGAAGAAGATATCGAAACTTGAGGAGTATTCAAGTCGATAAAAATGCTTTGCAAGAATAGATGCCATTCTTGCAAATGGCTGCATTAAAATGAGCGTTGCATAAGAGGACTAATGTGTCCATTTTGGTTACGTTTTCCAACTTCGAGTCAGCCTTCTGAGTTAGCAAGACGTCAGTAATATCTTAATGTTCACATCATGGAAGTCAACTTATGCCATAAGCACTTCAAAATATTTTTTCGAAGTATAACTGTTCGCTAGAAAAATTATTCATATCTTATTTTAATTATGTATTTAAATTAATGAATCAGCATTCAGTCATTGCTCATAAGCAAAAGATAACTGAAGATATGAAGACCAGGATGGTGGGGCCTTTCGTTGTATAGAAGTTGTTTGACCTTGTTTTTGCAAATTGGTAGAGGAACTCAACTTGTCCGGAGTTCATAAAGATGATTGAGTTAATTAACTTATTTGTTTCATTATAATTGGCAATCTGGTAACCCACATTCTTTAGAAGTAGGCTGAACCAATTTTATCAATTGGATCTTGTTGCCAGGGCGACTTGGTTGAACGTACCTTGTCCGAAATCTTCTGCTATCCACTTTAGTGAATCTTCCTCTGTCTTTATTGTTCCCTCATAGTCTTCGCTTTACCCTCGACTTTTCAGGGCTCATATATTTCTTTGTATTGCTTCACTTGAGTAATCGTTTCCGAGGCTAAGAAACGGATGTACAGGCCCATGAGCGAGATCCGGATGGGAGGCCCGAGTCGGATCAGCCAATAGAGAGTAAGTGGTTGGCAAGGTGAATAGCGGGTGTGATGAGGCCAGACTAAACTTGCCAAAAAGGGCACACCTTTTGACGAGTTGAATGTAAAGAAACCAGAAGTTGTGATCGGGCGGGAGTGGGATAAGATGGGTAAAGAGTTGATAGATGGGCCAAGACAAAAAAGATGAGTGGTAATGCAACCGATTGACTTCACTTGTATCTTTGACGATGTGTAACTCGGTGTTGAGAATGACAAGACTGATTGATGATGCCGGCGAAACTTCTGAAAATCTACCAAGTCCACGTTCTGACGATGGGAATTATGATAACTACTATGACAGACGACTTCTGCCAAGGTGCATCCAACTAAGTTGCCCTGGCAACAAGACCAAGTTGTAAAAAAGAAGTAAACGCACTTCTATACATCGAAATGAGACTGCGACCATACCGACGGCACGCAATCTTGGTCTTCATATCTCCCTAATTCTTAAAGTATTTACTACATAATTATTTCACTTATTCTGCCTATTTTTTCAATTTTTTTTGTAGCATTATTAAATTGACATTTTACTCCTTTAATGCTAATTTTGCAGCGCATTCAGAAATTGCGGCAGCCAAAGTTCACGAATGAGCTACTCCAACAAATGTCAAGGCTTTCTAGTGGAAGTGAGTTCTCTAATACAATTTGAGATTGTTCGGAAATGTTCGCCTTTCAAAGTTAAATTTTTACTAGCTTTAGCCTGAGCAGAAGGTGTTATTGAGCCCAATGCCCGAGGCGGGAGTGTGTAGTTGACTTGAGCCTTCATTGCTGAGACTCTCAGATTACCGATCCGCCTGGTGACCCAAGCTGTTCATGTCTGTACCATCCTTCCCTGAGCTCAAGCCCCACAGGGAGATTTAGCGGCTCCAGTCCGCCTCAGAAGAATGACGGAATATGAACTCCGTTTCGGTAGTGAAAAAAGATACCTGCCTACGGAATATGGTTTTTTTTAAAATTCGATGTTGCTCTGCTTCGGCAGTTTCAACAGACAGCCAGCGGTTCTAAAAAGAGCCAGATGCATGAGATCAAGAGGATGTGAGTGCATGTGAAAGTGGGGGGGGAGGAAGATGGTAACTGGGACAACGGGTTTTCGGATCTAAGGGAGGGATTTAAAGAGGGATGCATGGTTTAGGGAGTTGTTCTCAGTAAGGCCATTGTAGACGTTTTTTCGTAGCACGAGGTTATGTAGATTACGATGAGGAATCCGAAAGAAACCTAACGAAAAATGAGCCGATATCAGATTCTTAATTGCTTTTTTCCCAGATTTAAATGAGAATACCAGAGAAAAACAGTCAATTTCTTAATATACATTTTATTGTGAGAAAATGCAACTATTCGTTCCACTGAAAGGACAATAAGGATACTGTTCGTCAGCAGCCTGTTATGATTAAACTGGCCTCAGATGATAGGATTGATCAGAATTCATTGTCACTCTTTCCCATTTTGTCACTTTGACAAAACAGAAAAGCTGTTATAAGGAGTTTCCTGGACGAGTTGGCCTAAGGCATTTAAGTGTAGACCTTACGTTTTTACTGAATTTCGCATATCTTTGCTTCCCAAAAGGTAGTCTCATCCAATCCGGAGTGGACTGCAGTTTCTAACTCACCTGAAAGCCTTCCAGCGGGACTTGAACCATCAAAAGGCAGCGTATAATCTCGACGTGTTAACTACCACATCACACAATAGTACGAGTATGCTTGGGTCACAGGGTAGATGTGAATTTCAAGGAAGGACAAGCATTTTTCCATATAACATTCTGTGGTGGGATTTTCCATGAAGCAACGTTGTATATTCTATAGCAATCGATTACGTTGCTTATTTTTCATTTTAGAAATAGGCTTTTCGAGACTACCAGTATGTCTGATATCCTCAAACTGTGAATTTACTGAGCATAACTAGGATACACATTTGATGCATTTTTACCTTTGAGTTAGGCCCACATATCAAATCTTTATAGGTCAAGTGTAAATGGATTCCGATTAATGATTGTTATGGAGGATTTCGTTTTGTGTGAAAATGTGTGATGAAGTACTTGTAGGTCGCTCCTACCGGAAAACGACGGCGAATTCACATTGTTCTGCAGTCGTTTCGATTAGAGTCGCATGCACACTGGCGCTCTTCTTCGTATCTGACAAAATAATGTCTAAGCCTTGAGAATAAAGTCAGCAAGAATATTATAGTAAATTCACTCGACAGATGGCCAAGAGGAATCCACCATCGTCTTCTACGAATCTCTTCACCAAACACTTTCACTCAAAATTGAAAT